TATTTACTGGTGTCTGTAAGGATGCTTCAAAGAAATAAAATTCATGTCATGCAGATCATGTGTATGTGTGTATTTTCATACATTTGCATGGTGGTATATGTTTATTTATACACCATGCATGTCTAAGTACTTAAATTTATTATGAAGAATTGATCCACAGGCTTAGGGGGCTGAGAAGTTATACAGTCTTCTGTTTGCCTGTGATATAGTTCTGAAACTGGATGGCTAGTGAAATAAGTTACAGGTGAGGATAAGAGAAGATTGATGTCCTAGGTAAATCAGAGCGCAAATTCTCCTGACTTCCCTTGTCTGTTTATTCAGGCACTTCGTGGACTGAATTATGCTCACTCATATTGGGAAGGGAAATGTGCCTTACTCAGTCTATTGATTTAAATGCTACAATCTTCTCATCCAGAAACACTTCATAGATACAGAAATAGTCTTAAATATGGGCATCTCATGTCTCACTCAAGTTGAGATGTAGAATTACCATTACATTATTGGTCTTGCCTTCTGCATTAAAATGTGTGGGAACACACATACACACACACACACACACACACACACACACACACACACACACACACACATGCAGAGCAGAGCTAATTTTAGTTGTTCAGAAATATCTTCTCTTAGCTAAAGATTAGATTAGGAAAATGTTTGCTCATTCTCACTTCAACCATGATACTTTTAATTGACATGATCCTTTCATACTTCTGATGTGATCTAGTCTTTTGATAGATGTACATTTATTTCTAAGCATCGATGCCTGTTCTAATTTAAAACATATCATAAATGTGCCTATGTTTTTCAGTTCTCCAAGCAGTGATTCTGTATTTTTACTGATCTCTGGGAATGTGAGATTTTTAAGAGGATTTATTTATTTATTTGAAAATCAGAGTTACATAGAGATTGCCTGTCTCCAGAAAGATTTTCCATTGGTTGGTTTAGTCTCCAGTTGGCCTCAACTGCCAGGACTGAGTCGGGCTGAAGCCAGGAACCTGGAGCTTTGAATCTCCAGTGTGGGTGGTAGAGGTCCATGCACCTGGGCCATCCCCGGTTTTCTCAGGTCAATAGGAAGGAGCTGGATTGAATGCAGAGCAGCTGGGACATGAGCCAGTGTCCATATCTGGATGCTAACTCACAGGGTGATGGCTTTACTTGGTGCACCACCCTGTTGGTCCTCAAATGTGCATTTTAGATTTTTTCATACCCCCTTTAAAAATTTTTTTGATAAGCATATTATTTGCATATCAAATGGAATATCTATAATAATGTAAAAAATTTCTTTTGTTGCCTTAATTTCTCAACATTAAATAGTATTCATTCAGTTATTTTTTTAAGGTTTTTAAAAAAATTTTATTGGAAAGTTATATTTACAGAGAGAATGAAAAACAGGGAAATCTTTTTTATAAATATGATTGACAGCTTTAATAGCAGAATCTGCGAAGTGTAGATTTTTAAAAATTTATTTGTTTTTATTGCAAAGTCAGATATACAGAGAGAAGGAGAGACAGAGAGGAAGATCTTGTGTCTGATGATTCACTCCCCAAGTGACCACAATGGCTGGTGCTGTGCAGATCCGAAGCCAGCAGCCAGGAACCTTTCCTCTAGGTCTCCTACGCACGGGCAAGGTCCCAAAGCTTTGGGCCGTCCTCGACTGCTTTCCCAGGCCACAAGCAGGGAGCTGGATGGGAAAGTGGAGCTTCAGGGATTAGAACCGGCGCCCACATGGAATCCTGGCACATTAAGGCGAGGACTTTAGCTGCTAAGCCACTGTGCCGGACCCATCTTTTTTTTTTTTTTTTTTTAAGATTTCATTTTATTTTTATTGGAAGGTCAGATTTACAGAGAGAAGTAGAGGCAGAGAGGAAGGTCTTCCCATCTGTTGATTAACTCCCAAATTGGCTGCAATGGCTGGAGCGGAGCGGAGCTGATCCAAAGCCAGGAGCTTCTTCCAGGTCTGCTACGCAGGTGCAGGGTCCCAAAGTGTTGGGCCATCCTTGACTGCTTTCCCAGACCACGTGCAGGGAGCTGGATGGAAAATGGAGCTGCCAGGATTAGTACTGGTGTCCATGTGGGAGCCTGGTGTGTGCAAGGCAAGGACTTCAGCCACTACACTACAACTCTGGGCCTCAGGGTGAAAGATCTTATGTCCACTGGTTCACTCCTGAAGTGGCTGCAAAGGCTGGAGCTGAGTCGCTCTAAAGCCAGGAGCCAGGAGCTTTTTCAGGGTCCCCCAAGCAGGTACAGGGTCCTAAGGCTTTGGGCCATCCTCGAGTGCTTTCCCAGGCTACCAGCAGGGAGCTGAAAGGGAAGTGGGCAACGGGGACACGACACATGTATGGTGAGGATTTAGCTACTGAGTCATTGGGTTGGGCCCTCATTAGATTATTTCTAAGGTACTTGTTAAAAATCACTGTGTGGGGCCTGGCATGATAGTCTGGTTGCTAAAAGTCTTCGCCTTGTATGTGCCAGGATCCCATATGGGCACTGTTTCTAATCCCAGTGGCCTTGCTTTCCATCCAGCTCCCTGCTTGTGGCCTGGATAAGCACTCGAGAATGGCCCAAGGCTTTGGGACCTTTCATCTGTGTTCTGGTTCTCACATCTGCCAGTTGGTACTATGAACTGTTCCAGCCTAGCCTGCCACCAGACATGACCCACATGTATGAAGGTGGTACTATGACCTGGTCTGGTTTGCACTGCTCCCAGCCTTGGTTCCTGCACTTACCTGCAGGGACTGCATCCTGACAGGATTTCCCCAGGCTCCTCCATCAGGGCACCTCCCAGTCACAGAACTTGGTGTACACCATTGGATTCTTGGCACCCCCTGACTTGGCATACCTGTTAACCTGGCAGGTACAGTGACCTAGGCTAATCAACCCACATCCATGCTAGATCTTAGTGTTGAGTGCTACAGCCCAAACAGACTTGGTGCATACCCAAACCCTGTTCCTGTATGGTTCAGTGAGTGCCAAGACCTAGCCTAACCTGTCATCTACCCACTCTGGCTCTTGCGAGAACCAGTTGATGCTGGAGCTTAACCCAGTAGCACACCCCAGACTCAGCTTACATCCACATTGAGGGGAAACTGCAACCATATCCAGCCCAGTTTGCTGCTCCTATTCCAGCTCTCGCCTTCACCAGTGGGAACTGTCACCCAACCTGGGGATTCCCTTAGCTCCCCAACCAGGCTGGTTCCCAGCCACAGATCTCGCATGTGCCAGTGGTTGCTCTGACCCAGCTTGGCATAGCCCATCTGCTGTCCTGTTCTTTGCCATTAGATGCTGCAACCTGGACTGACCTGGTATGCTGCCAGTCCCAACTTTCGCTGGTTTCTGCAGGCTATCCCTGCCCAGTCTGCCCCCATCCCTGACTTTCATGCAAACTGGTAGGTGTGACAGCCTAGCCTAGCTCTGCATAGCACGTACTCTAGCCTAGCCCCTGCGTGTACCAATGTGTTATGGTTTGGCCTGGCCCTGCGTGTTCTGCCTCCCTCTCCCATCCCCCAGAGCCAATTCACTTACCTGCTGACAAGTGAAGAAGTAGCCCTGACTCTTGTACTCGCCAGTGGGAGTGACAGCCCACCAGGGGAGTGCCCCCAAATTTCCTACCAGGCCCACTCCCAGATCCAAATTTCATGCATGTCAGGAGGTGCTAGGCCCTTACCCAACAGTCTGCCCCCCTCACCCTCATAGTCTTGGCGTTTGTACTGGATGTTGTGGGCTGGCCTGCCTCACACCCAGTTCTTAGATGTGCCTGTGGGTGTTATAGCCTGGGCCAGCCCGACCTTTTCCAACCCCAGTACCCATGAGTGTTGGTGAGTTCCATGATCATGCCTGCCTCAGCCTGTCATTACCCCTAACCCTGAAGCAAACCAGCTGGTATGGCAGTCCCACAGGGGCGAGCCCACAGTCCCCCACAGAATCTACTCTCACGTACTGATTAGTATCATGCCCCAGCTTAACATAGTCCACATCCTCCCCAGTGCTCACTGGTGGTTACTGTGAGCCAACCCTGCTAGGCAGGCCAGGCCCTGCAACCATGGCTTTCGTGTGTGCTGGTAGATGCTGATTGAGATCTACAATCCCATCTCAGGTCTCACATGTGGGTGGATATATTAGTTTGGCCCCAAAAGGTCCTTTGGTTTCCCTCTTCTAAATCACCCAGTCTCAGCCCCCTCATTTACCTACAAGTGCAGTAGTGTGGTTGGTGGAAGTTGCTCAGAAGTCACTCTTCATTTGTCACATTTGCCCTCTGCAGTCCTCCCTTCCCCACATTTCCAGACCTTCTTCCCTGAGCAATCCACAGCGCCCATTCCTGCAACCACTCACATCTCCAAACCTGGTCCTTTGGCAGGATGTTGCACCAGCCTGCGGCCCTACCTACCTACCCAGAGTCCATGCACACTTGGATTCATGTCCCCAGACCCTGTCTGCTGGTGTGCTGGCATCTACCTTCCGCATATCTTTTTTTTTTTTTAATAGGATAGGCAACTAGCCTGGCACAGTGGTATAGATAACACAAATTTGACATTAGCCACGTCCAAGATGCCTGCCAACTACTAGCTGGTTTTCTCCTAGCGGTGTAACACTTGTCAGGCTACAGTGCAGTCTAGGCAGTTACCTGCAGCTAGGGGATAGCTTTGGCTTCTTAGAGGCCTTATAACATAAATGGTGTTCTTGTAAATTGCCATAATTAAAGTCATTGGGAAGAAAGTGTCCATTGTTGATGTTTTACTTTTTTACCTCATTAAAGCTAGTATGCAAAAATTCTTATCTCTTTATTGAAAGGTTCAACTTTTGACCTTCTTAGACAATATAATGTATTTTGCTGCTACCTTCTGTGCTAGCCAAGTCTTTAAATTTTAAGGAGTAGTTGTAGTTTAATGTTTAAACTCTGTTGTGTTTATTTGTGTGACTGTGGTAAGTTTATATTAAGAAATTTATGGCTTATTGTTTTAGCAAATGTAATGAGCAGTGTATTTTTTTTTCTTTAGGATCACACAGAACATACTAAATCTGAATCAGCGAGACTGGCTGATGGTACAGCAAGCATGATGAGTAAGCACAGAGAAGCCTGTTCCTTAGCACATGTGTAAAGGGAAAAAGGTAAGAAAACCAATGTTATTTCTTGTAGGGATTCAGTTTAAGAAAGCTACTGGATTTGTATGAAATAATGTTGATTTTTATTTGTGCTGCTTGCTTCATTTAAACGATGACTCAATCAGCAGTATAATTTTTTTTTTTTATTGATTACATTGTACTATGAGACATAGTTCTATAGGTACTGGGATTCCCCCCACCCCTATCCCACCCCTCCCCGCATGGTGGACTCCTCCACTTTGTTGTGAAACCACAGTTCAAGTTCAGTTGAGACACCTTCATTGTAAGCATATACCAAGCTTAGAGTCCAGCATCTTATTGTCCAGATAAGTTCATCTGCTTCTTGGGGAGACCTTCTCTGGTCTGAAGGTAGGGCCAAAAGAGTAAAATCCCGATCAATTAAAAGCCCCAGCAGCAACAATATATATTGTTATGGAATTAATTGACATAGTGTTGAGTAAACAATATGTTAAAATTACATGAAAGTTCTTAACAACATCCTGTGACTATTTCAATGACATTTTAATTGAGGTGCAAAACAGTTTTAGGGGGGGTATGCTGAGAAATCTTTCATACCTTGGTGAGCAATGCTTGTTCTTTGTGTTCTACCTAGTAGGGTATGTGTGAGTCCATTCTGACCAATCTTTCCTTGTTGTTCTCTGCTTATCTATTCCAATTTGTGTGTGTGTGTGTTTGGGGGAGGCGGGGGTTCTGGAGCAACCCTGTTGGTCATTGCAGAGGGTAGGAGCCCAGAGCTGGAACTAAGTAATGACCAGAGAAAGCTTCTCTCCCTTGTCCCGAAGGAAGTTTATTGTTCCTCTGATTCTGAGGACTGCTCAGGGTTCCTGGCTGTTGTTCCGATGACCTGGGATCCTATGAGGAAGGATTCAGGCTTCTTCCATCTCGTGTAGTAGGTCCAAAAAGGGGGGAGGGATGTCCTCTGAGTTCTCGGCCTCCACAGGCATTCCAGTTCCCTGTGGTCTCTTTGGCAGTTGTGATGTAGTCCTTGGTGCCCGTCCTGATAGTCCTTGGTGGGAATCTGGGAGTCTCTATGGTTGGGATACAAGCCGCCCCCTGTCCTGCTGCTCCGCTCTGGGGTTCTCCCCTATTCTGTGCATGTGACCTCCTGTTAATAGATTATTAGGGTCACTCCTGATTCCCCCTGTATGTCTTTGTAGTTTTTACTATTGTCTAATGCTGTTCTGAATCTATCGTCTATAAGTTACCTGTCCTATTCCTGATAGGTTACACTACACGGCTTCCTCATACATTCAAAGGAGATGAGAGATTTCTCTGCACTCCTGCCCCATTTCTGAGTATCACAAGGTTTTGGAAGTATATTGAGTATTACAGTCATTCAAAACACGTGGGTTGAGACCATATTAGTTGCAGGTTCATCTGAGGAAGATTTATCGTCATTGCAAATCTTTAGGGTTGTTTCACGTCCCCAAAGCACTGCGGGCTTGGCGTGGAGCTGTCTGAGCAGCAATCAAAGGACCAAAGTCCCAGGGCTCCCTGGCTGCCAGGAGCAGCTCCCCGTGTGGGCGTGGGAGCCACCATGGTGCTTACCGGGTATGAAACGGCCAGTCCCAGGGACCCTCAGCCGTCTCATGGCCAGCCCCCCAGGCCCAGATCCTGCTCCTTCCTGGTTGTGTCCTCAGCTGCAACCACGCCCCAGTGAGCAGTAGGACTACCCAGACCCGCTACACAGAGCCCGAAGACACCCCCCTCAAAGGCAGGCCGCCCACGAGGCTCCGGCAAGCCCGGAGCAGCTCCCTGTGTGGGCGTGGGAGCCGCCATGGCAGCAGTACAATTTTAAAAATGTTTCACTTTAGAGAGAAAGGATGTCTTAAAATTACTATTAAATTGTATCACACTGTTAGTTCTCTGCCTTCCCTTTTAGAATTAGGTTGCTGCTGTCTTGATCATAAAATGGTAATTTCAGCATGAAAGTAACATAGATTTTAACAATATTGTTAGGATCAAGTAGTAGTACAAATATCCCCTTTAAAGTAATTTACTTTTCTTAGTTATTGTGTAAGAACTAAATTAGCTCCACAGGCATACCCAAGAATAAGGTGTGGAGTGGGCCATACTTCAACATCCACCACCTCATACAAAGGCTGGGATGGAGATTGCTGGCTATGCTAGGTAAGGGTCTAGCACCTGCTGGCACATATGAGATCTGAGGCTGGGAGTGGGCCTGGTGGGATAACTTGGGAAACTCCCACGGTGGGCCATAGACTTACTGGAGAGCATGTCGTTCAGGCCTGGTCTGGCTGGGCAGGGTAGCCCTACCTGTTGGCATGTGTGTAGAGTGGTTCTGGAGAAGGGTGGACCAGGCATGGCTGAGCAGACCTTAGCCTACTGGGATGTGCAAAAGCCAGACTAGAGTGCGGGTCATGCCAGGCTAGTCTATAACACCTAGAGGTTTGCATGAGCCAGAATTTGAAGCAGATTGGGCAGGACTGGGCTATAGCACCCACCAGCAGGAATTGGAACTTGGGGTGATCTGAGTCAGGCCAGGCTGCAATATGCAGTGGCAAAGACCAAGACAGCACATGCGCTATGCTGCGCTGGGTCAGGGCAACCACTAGCAAGATTTGTGGTTGGGAACAGGCCTGGTTGGGGAGCAAAGGAGGAGTCCTGACTGCATTGCAGTTGACACTGGTGAGTGCAAGAGCCAGAATTGGGGCAGTGACCTGGTCTGTATATGACTGCAATGTACCTCAGCATTGGTGTTGAGTGGTTTTGGGCTTAGGCTCCAGCACCCAGACTGGGCTAAACTCCAGAACCCAATGGTGCTCGCAAGAGTCAGGGTGGGTGTGGGGTGGGCCCAGTTAGGTCTCTGCCCTTGCTGCACCATGCAAAAAATGTGTCTGGGTGTGGATCACATTTGACTGGGCTGTAGCATCAAATAGTAAAGCCGAAATGCGTGTGGGCAGGTTGGGCAAAATCACTGTTCCTGGCAAGATAGGAGATGGACTGAGTCTGGGCCAAGAACCCACTGGTACGTGCAAGATCTGTGTCTGGGAAGTGCCTTGATGGAGGAGCTTAGGGCATTCCTCTGTCATGATGCAGTATTTACAGGTAAGTACAGGAAGCAAGGCTAGGAGCAGTACATAACAGACCAGGTTATAGTACCTGCTGGCATAGGTGTGAGTCAGGTCTGGGGGAGTACCAGGCTGGACCTACTGGCAAACCTGGGAAACAGGACAGGGGTCAGGATTGGCTATGTTGAGCCTCAACACCAGCTGGTTCATATTAGGGCTGGTACTGGGAACTGGCTTGGCTGGGCTACACTGCAGCACCCACCAGCACGAGCTGGACCCAGGGGGCACACTAGGGCGCTTGGCTATAGCACCTGCCAGCAAAAACACCCAACCAGCACACGTAAGACTCAGGCGGGGGATGGAGGTTGAGGGGTTAGTACAATCCTGGTAGGGGGCCTGCCAATGCTACTGCTCCCACTGGTAAGGGTGAGAGCTGGGACCAGGGGCAAGCCAGGCTGGGCAGGGCCACAACACCTGTTCTGCCCTACATGTTAACAGGGATAAGCTAACACATTGTGCTAACCGACTGTACTCACTGTTGCATGTACCATGCATTAGCCAGAGTGGTGTGGACTGGTTGGGCCTTGCTGTAGCACCAGCTGTCAAGTGATGAAACTAGGTACAAATCCTATCATGCTAGACTGCAGAACCACCTGGGGAGTGCAAGATCTGGGAATGGCAGTGGGCCCAGTAGGGAAATGGTGGATACCTCTCTGATGGGTTGCAGCTCCAATTGGTGAGCATGAGAACCAGGACTGGATAAGGCATGACTAGGCAGGTGTTGGCACCCATTGGCTCAAGTGGACTGGATAGTGGAGTTTGGTGGTTTGAGCTTGGCTTTATCACCCATTGACATGTACAAGAACAAAATGGGATGTGGGACAGACTGGACCAGTCTACTGTACATACTGGCAAGTACAGGAACCAAGGCTGAGGACAGGCCTAGTGGGAGCTATTGTGGTTTGCTCTGATTAGGCTGCAGCTCCCTAATGGAGTACATGAGGGCCAAGTGTGTGGTGAGTACGGTTGGGCTGGGCCGTAGTACCCACTGGATTATATGAGACAGGGCTGGAGACAGAACTGACCCAGCAATTGCAACCACCACTGTATGCGTAGGTTGAAGTGGGTGACATTCTGTGCCAGACCCTGTATCTACCAGCATCTTGTGTGTGCAAGCACACACAAGAATCTGGTCTGAGATCACCTCAGATGAAGTTTCTAAAGGGATTCCCCCCACAACTGAATTGTTGGACTGAGAACTCCAACCATGGGGAGAATCTCAGGATCTGTGATCTTGTTTTGGAGTGTATGTATCAGTACAGGGTCTCCTCAGTGACTTAGATGGAGCAGTGGATGGCATCCCTAGATGTACATGGAGGACATGGCAGTCGGCTGGAGCCTGTGAAGAACATTTGATACCCTAACAGAAAATGGAAGGGAGAAAAAATTGATCAGCTACTCCAGACAGTTAGTAATAGCAAATATCTGGGCAAATGGATACACTAAGATGGACTATGTCAGTTTATTGATCTTGGAAGGATTTCCTCATCCTTGGATCAGTGAGAGCGACAGCATTTCAGAATTATCAAAAGTGCTTGAATACAACCCTCAGAGCATGCTCCACATTGGGGACCGTGCGATGACATTGATTTGCCTTCTGTATCCCGGTTACAGTGGCAGTTGGGAAACTGGGTGCTGTTTTCCTCTCTATCTTCCCAGTTCCCCCAGACACAGGAAGAAGAAAAAGGAAATTTGAAAACAATGGTCTCATCCACTTTCCCCTAATCCTTGACCCTTCCCACTCTCACCAAGTATGTAAACATTATCAAAAATAAAATTTGTTAAATAAAACATATAAAGAGAGAGAGAGAGAGAGAAAAAAGAAAGTGCTCAGACCATTTCCCTATAGATTGGTACCTACTTTACTGTCATCTCTGGGTTTCCTGTGTAAGT